AAAACAACGAAGATTTATCATCTTCTATATTGCTTGAGTCTGAGCAGACGGATGAATTTAGTCCCCAAATAGCTTCCCTTGTGCCACCTCGACCTACAAAACATCAAACGAAGAATTTAGAAACATATGAAAGAGAAGAAACTTCCAAACTCACTACTCAGGAATTGCAACGATTGGTACTTATCGAACAATTGGAGACCACTCATGTTCAAAGGCAGTATTATCGAGAAATGATGCAAAAATCCAATACCGGTCGCTCTTATTATGAGCCTGATGGAAACGAAAACGATAATGATGTACCTAGGTACGCAGTGCTTTAGATAGATACTTTGGTACTAACAATATGATATGATTCCATGCAAAGATTACATTTACAAAACATGTTTTTTGTTAAGGGATATTTGTTATTTTTATAAAATGATTTTTCTTAAGGGCTATTGTAGGAAAAAGACTTGCCATACAAGAATTTTATCTTTATTTCATATAACACGTTTTTTTTCTGAGTTATTGTAGGAATTAAAAAAAACATTTCATACTAAGAATTTTCTCTTTATTTAACATAAATAAAACATTACATTCTTAAGGGTTATAATTTGTACCAGAAGCATTTTATTTTTGTTATTGTTGTACGGCGCATAAAANTGTTTACTGACCGTTACAAAGACCACTCGGCACCCAAATTCACGAGTTAATCTCTACGAACGTTGAGTTCCATTAGTTCCTGGCTCCTGGTGATCTCTCTTCGAATTTTCTTCTCCATCCTCTTGTTGCATTTTATCCACACAAAACGACCAATTATAATAATGAGCAGCAATCCCACAAGGAAAACTCCTATTTCCCACATTGTAAATGTTGTCCCAGGGGTTGTGGTCGTGGTACCTCCGCTGTTACCGGCTTGAGTTATAATGACTTCCTTCTCTTCTTTTGACTGATTGTACCCCATTGTATGTATGTATGTTGATAATTTAATTTTTTTTTTCACTTTACTTTTTATACTGTTTCGTTGACTTTTTATCCTAATCTGTTATTTTTTCTAATGCCAATTTATAATTGAACTGGCAGGATCGCCATGCAATGTTTAAACTCTTCTTTTCATTTCTGTATGATTTCTTTATGGGTTTGGAGTGTAATTACAAACTGGAGCTTCTTGAAAGCTACGAAATAGACAAGTTTATAAAAAGCAACACACAACTCGAATGTCTTAATGATCAAATTTTTCGTATTAAACCACCTCTTTACAACTGTTTACAAAACCCTTTTCCCCAAAATACCGAGGACTAGTTTAATTAGCCGCACACACTAGTCACAGATTTTGGGGTACTATTGTTAAATATTGTGATAAAAATAACCATTTCATAGTTCATCGAGGAAAACAACCATACAATTTTGACAGAGATATTTTTGTTGGTAGAAATCTTATTTAAAACCGTTTAGTTTGCTTCCAAAGGTATCAATTAAATTAGTTCAGCTCCTAAAGCACATTTTTCATCCATCCTTTGATGTTTTAACGTTATTTTGAAGAAGAAATCATTGTAATATTAGAGGAAGAAAGGGACACCCACCACCAACGTTATGCGGACGGGAAAAGATAGAAGTACGGTAGCGTGTACTTGCAGAAAAAGAGAAAAAATTATAGAAGATTTTTAAGATGCTGCCACCAGGCAAGTTACGTACTTGGCCGAACGGTTTAAGAAGTTAATGAGTAAAAGGAGGGAGGATCGTAGCCCTTGTGTAGAAATTGGAATAATACGAAACAAGAATTTATATAAAAAAATATTAATATATTAAATTAAGGAAATAGTTTCAAGAACAATAGTAATTAATTATGCTTACTTATTCTACGCCACGACGACGCTCTTCCACCAGGATTCGAACGCTTCAGGAACTGGCTTCAAGGCACAATTTCGATCTGAGGATTCGATTTCTCTAGCAAATTACCCAACACAAACCACCAGCGTATTTAGAAGTCTTTCCGAATTTAGTATTGAGAATTTAAATTAAAAATAAAATGAAATGGAGCGAATTCAAGGGGAAGACTGTAGCTTCTATCTACCTTGGTAGTTGGTACTCGACTCCCCGAGTCGAACTCGGTGGCGCATCAACGCCTCACGCGATAACGCTGACTTAAGCAAAATAATTATACAAAACGCAATTTAATATACAGGGCGGTTTGTTACATCATAGATTTAAAATTGAATTTTTCTAACTTTACTCATTGATGGAATTGGGCGTGGACTCCAATGTATATCTGAAAACAAGAAAAGACAACGATGAATACGAAGTCTTATTACGATTCATAAAGGAATAAGGGAAAAAGAATATAATCAACAAAACTCCGGAAAAAAACCCAATTTGAAATCCAAACTCCCGACCCTTTACACGTCTATTTTATTTTTATTATATAAAATAAACTTAACCCTAGGATAGTTAACCAATAAAATAACTATAGTAACTAAATGCTTGCCGGGCCTGAGAGGCCCGGTTTATGCATCCTAGGGTTAATGCATAAAACTTTATATATTTGCCAAAATATTATTTTGCCATATTTCCTAAATGAATTCACACTTTTTTTTTTAATTGTAATACTTTAATTGACTAATTTTAATAATAGCTAAACTAATTTTAATAGTAGCTAGAAACATAAATTCAGTTTATATTCATTAATTGTTCTCGTTTCTCATTAAGAGTATGTTTTATATAAACACTCTATATAATATTTTTCTTGTACAAAAGCACATGCGCAATACATATTTTTCACTTTTCTCAAATCTGATTTTCGAACAAAAAGTTGAATTATTCTTGCAAGATCATCCATTTTACTTCAGTTACTTGTAACATCCGTTCGTTTTAGTTTTACCTCAAATTTTAATGTGTTAATAGTTTAAACTTTAATCATTTTTATACAAAATTATAATTTATAATGTATATCTGTCAACAATTTGTGACAGAAAATATTGGAAATTCTTCAAATGTTGATAGTGCACGTGCGTTTTTTAAACTATGGTTTTTGAATTAACGAGTAAGTTTATCTTTTAATTTTTAATTTGTAACATCAATTAACCGCTTCTGAGGATGACGTAAGTCGAAACTTGTCAAGCCGGATTTAAGAATAAACCAGTAAAAAAGTACAATATTCAACTAATTTATATTTTTCTTCGTTTACATTAAGTTTATATAAATAAATACCTAGAAATAGTGGGTGATACACACGCCCATAAACGCAATAATGATCCTAATGGGCAAATAAAGGGTAACAAATCATTTAAATACAGAAATATTATTAAGCGGTTGATTGATCGTCAAGGAGGAGAGAGCACGCCTCGCACTTCTCGTACAAGAACTAAGTCAGCAGCAACGGCATTCACGTATTGGATTCGGGCATAGCTCCTCATCCTTAAATTTAATAGCTAGAGATACTAGACCCTATCAATACGTATATTTTGATGATATAAATGAACTTGTAGATAGACTGCGATTATTAGTTAGTTCTCAACAAGCTGGTAATACATCTCATAATAACGAAATTGTATCTATAATAGAAGAACTAAAAGAAGCAAAGATCAGTTATTGAAATGGATAAATTTGGAAACTTTAATGAAAACAGCATACAAATTGTATATCACAATGTAGGATTGATCATATGGGTATTACGAGCGATGGAGATGTAAATGGAGAAAACAAACGTGTATGTAATGTATCCAATCCTCTTAACGAGAATGATGTTGCAACAAAAAGATATGTTGATAAACATATTCGAAGAGCAGGGAATCGTCTTACAGACGAGATTTCTCGTTGTAATAGCGTATTTCGTATATATGACAATGGTTTCCGTGAATATAATAAAGCTACTGATTTTCTCAACGAAGAAATTGAGAAAATAAATGAGTTGGCAGAAAAACATAATCAATTAAAATTAGATATGGAAAAGCGTTCGTCCCTTGCCCCAATCTCAGATAATTTTAGATCTTAATTTAAAAATTGTAAGAATCGCGCTTGCTCACGGTTACGTCACCCCCGAAACGACCGTGTCCAATTAGTAAATCAAAAATCTCTCTCATCGACCGGGCGTGAGCGGAAGAAGATCGGTGTTGCGCGTCATTGATAAGAAATAATTAAACTAACTAATTTAAATATTGTGAGAACAAGGGGAAGGATTAAAAGTAAGATCAATTTTAAATATCTTTTATTTTATTTCTTTTCTTCTTTTATTATCGAAATCCACCAGCACCTTAAAATATTTGTCCCGGCTTCTTGTCGCGCGATCAAAAAGACTAATTCGAATCTAACGAATACATTGAAGCAAAGTTTGAAAGATAGCGAAATCTCTATTCGAGATTATATGAATAAACAGGATATTAAAATCCTTGATGCTATATCGACAATATCGGACGTAGCATATGAAAAATATTTCAAATACAACCAATGAATTAAAATTGCGTATGGAAAAATCTATTTCGGTTATAGCTACTGAACTTAATTTAGTAATAAAACATAAGTGTTTATTTAGCAAAGTTATCATTATATTAAGTACTTTTATTGCATTAACATGAATGAGGTTGACATAAGAAAGCGAATAATCGTAGAGCTACATAAACCATCTAGGAAACGTTTTCAAAGACGACGAACAATTGTTAAAGGATTAGATGATTTATGGCAAGCGGATTTAGCTGATATGTCCGCACATGCTAAGAGTAATAAGAATCAGAGATATCTCTGGACTAGAGCTTTAAAGACCAAGACAGCTAAAGATGTGCGAATAGCCTTAAGCAGCATTTTTTCTGAAGATGAAAGGATTCCGAAAATTTTCAAACTGATGCAGGAAAGGAATTCTATAATGCAGAGCTAAGAAAATTGCTGGATAAACATAACGTCAACCATTACTCCACATTTACCACAATGAAAGCGTCAATGGCTGAACGAGTCATTAGGACGATCAGAGAAAAGTTACAGAAAACGATTCTGTATAGAGGCAACCAAGTTTGGATTGATATACTTCAACTATGACTAAGGAGTACAACAATACAAAGCATCGAACCACAGGGCTAGCTCCTTCGAACATTAACAGGGATAACGCAGATCGAGTGTTAAATACTGCATATACTCAACTAAAGATTGCGGGAAAGGGGAAATTTATAGTTGGGCAGGTGGTTCGTATTAGTAAACATAAATCTTTATTTGAAAAGGGCTATACAGCTAATTGGAGCATGGAATTATTTAAAATAGTTCAAATGACAAATCCTCCTACTTACCTGCTTAATGATATGGAAAATAATCCCATTTTGAGTGCTTTGTATGAACATGAACTTCAAGCTACTAATTTCAAAGATATTTATCTTATTGAACGAGTACTTAAACGCTCGAAGAATAAAGCCTACGTTAAATGGTTAGGATTTCCTTCTTCGCATAATAGCTGGATTAATAATGCGACGTCCTTTCCTGGTTCGGTCCTAGGAAAGGGGTCTTGGTGCCCTTTTATATGTTCGGGATGTTAACGGTCTCGGGCGCCACCTTATGTTTATAGAGTTAAGGAACTCTTTCGCCTCCAAGTAACTTTTGGGGGTTACAGTCGGAGATTCAGGATGTTTGAGAGAGGGTGAAAATAAAAACATGCGAATAGCGGAGTAATTAACAATTAATTAAAAATAATTATCGGAAAAATTTGTAACATAATTCAAAAGATACCCTTATTCATGTGGAAAATTACAAAAATATAATTAACAAAATCGGTTAGCGTTTACGGCACTTACATACATAAACATTTTCCCGACCGCGTGCTTCACGTTAACTTTGATTAATCAGTATTAATTAACGCGCACTTCAACACAATGTAGCTTCAGCAGTTGGGCAGTGTCCGGGGCAATCCTATACGGGTAGTATTTTCCATGGATGACCATCAGGAATGAAGTAACTTAATTAATTAAGATGCGGGATGATTTTGGTTGATAATCATGTTAATCATAATCGGATCGTCTTTAGAATCATTCAACGGTTATTTCATGATACTAGTAATTGTTTGAAATCGGTTTGATTGTTCTACGATTTCTAATTCCGCATCATAAAAAATAGTCGCTGTACGGTAGCTGAACGGTCGTTCGGCGATTTCCACTAATTGCTTTTATTTATTTGAAATTAGGTCAGGAAACGTTTTCGGGAAAAGTTTTAACGGTTTTAAATGAATATGAAAATTGGAAGTTTTAATTACGGAAATAAGGAAATTAAGGAAAATGCGAATGAAGTTGCATAAGCGGGTGGTGATAAGGTATCGATTTTTGGATTTTTATAAATCGGGCGGAAACTGTAGGAGGTCGGGGTAATGTGGGAAGTATATTCGGATGTTATAAATTTTTCGGAAAAAAAAATGTAACTTCGTTACAATAAAAATGATGTGGTGTAATTAAATCGTAAACAATAATATAAAACATAATAATTCTTATCGACTTCTTTATTTAGCCTGCTTTTTATAGACAACTTAATATTATCGCACCAAATTCTATACAACTTTCATAAAAATTATTAAACAAAAGTATACAACTATATATAATTCCTATTAATATTATTATTGAAGCAACTATAACTATTAGAATGTTATTATAACATATTGAAATTAAATCAACATCGTATAATACCGAAATCCATTTACTAGTCATAGTACTATTATATTCCAAAGTGAATTTTACTTTGAATGTAATAATGGATTCATGTGAACAATTCGGTATAATAGAAAATTCATCTTCTATCGTCTGATTCATCCAGAACCATTTTATATCTACTTCTTTTCTTGTATAATCCGGATCGAAACTAATTGATGCCTCTTTTGTAGTTTGAGGCGCTTTGATGAGTAGCGCACTTTGCACTACTGTATAAAATAGGGTAAAATTCATTATTCTTCTCGCGATAACGTTCAAACAATTAATGTATACATAGATCGCACTTCTCTTCACATACACTACACTTTGTTATAGAGATTGGAGGTCGATCTATTTCATCGCCCCTACCACCAACATTATAATGTTTGTAGCAGGGTAAATGATATTTCAATTTTTCTTGCTTTTCCGCTGACAGTGTATACCAAATTCTCTCCAATTCCTTACATGATATAAAATTATGTTCCTTATCTATGATGTAGATCAAGTCTTCATTTGAAAACAACATCGTTTGCTTTCAAGGCACCTATAGCAGACTTTATTTGATCTGGAATTAGCGTGATTATTTCGAGCGCGCATTCTCGATACTCCAATTCTTCGAAAGAAGTGAACGAGGGGTTAAGACTCGACATTCTTTTTATATACTCCACCATACTCTCCTCTTGGATTTGATTGGTGAGAATAGATTGTATTAAATTAGTATAATAAATAGGGAAATTCATCAAATGAAGTCTTTGTAATCGCATAGTAATTATTGCGCGAAGTTGCTTCAGATTTTTATAACTCGCTGAATGAAGTAGTAAATCCGTTCCGCGAGATTGTATCTTTATACATTTTTTATGACTTGTGGAGGTACTGTTTTTGCAAGCATAAGATATATTTAAGTAGATGTTTAATTGCTTTTCTTTACAATCGGTTTGCTCAATTACGGCGAACGATGAACACTTTTTTCTTTGAAGTAAATGTTGATCTGCCTTAGATTCATGTATTTCCCAAAATTTATCCCATTCGTAGGATGACAATTGAATGCATTTTCTTTTACTGCTTGCAGCTATTTTTACCACAGGATATCCACCGCGCGCTAAACTGATACCCGTACCAATACTCAACGAATAACGGAGATCATATCGCTTTTCATTTACTATCGATCAAATTACTTATAAAATTTGATGATGCTAACGCTTCTTGCTCCATTGTAATACCGATGTATTGAACACTAATCAACAAACTAAATCTTTCATCATCATCTTCGCGAGTAAAGGTCTCCTACTTCCCCTCCTCCTCCCCCCTCCTCCTCATCTTCATCCTCATCCTCATCAATTTGATGGTGAATCTTTACACGCGCGCGTTTGGACACGTCGTTTTTGCGATATTCATCATCGGCTGACGTCATACCGCCGCACGTCCAAACAAACGATCGGAAGTTCTTTCATCGTAGCCGCCATCGTCGTCGTCCTTATCACCGCATCCGCAGTCGTTCTCGCAATAACTCAATCTTTGCGGTTTCTTTTATTTCTATCGACACGCCGCGCGCGCGCGTGACGTCATTTTAGACATGAATAAACGAGAGCATCAAAACAACTCTCCACCTCATCTTCACTCAATGTCTTTATTTCCGGTCGCGGGCGCGTGTGACGTCATTTTAGACACGAATAAACGGGCAGCCCGCGTGCCATCTTAAAACGACGACGACGACCTTGGGGGACAGTTCGGGGGCTGCGTCGGGGGTTTGGCCGTGGCCGGGACTGGATGCGCTGGGACTTGCCTTCGGTGCGGTGGAGTGTCGTCCAGGGTGAGTATGCACGGGGGAGGTGTGCGGTAAATGTTGTCCTACGTCGGTCTTAGTTGTAGTATAGTTCGAGTTGTTAGGGCAGTGGTTTCCTGGTGTGTGGGGCCCCGCCTCCACGTGGCAGGGATGGTAACTTCTCCCTTCGGGGAGAAGGCAAAGAGGGCGAGTATAAATGAGAGCAGAGTTTGAAGCGGTTATGGGCTATGCCCTGGTACCGCACGTTGTGTCGAGTCTGTGTTGTGTGTGTGTGTCCCCACCTATTGCGCGAGCACCGATGTGGTACTTGGATGAAAGTGTCTCCAAGATGTGCGACTTTATTCTCTCGAACGATGTGTTTCTCGTGAACGAACCGGGGAATATCTCCACGTTCTAGACTTTGAATGAAGAGTCAAATATTGATTTGACGCTAGCAAATCCGGGAGCGGTGCGGGCGTTGGTGAATTGGTCGGTGCGCGATCTAACGACCTCAGACGTCAGAAGAATGTTCGAGGGAGGCTGTTTGGACGTGATGGTCGAGCGGATCACGGGAACCTGAGGGCGAATTACAGAGAGGCGCTCGGTAAATATAAAGCGAATATCTTGGCTGCGAAAAGGGCCGGCTNTGCTTTGATGAGTAGTGTACTTTGCATTACTGTGTAAAATATGGTGAAATTCATTATTCTTCTCGCGACAACGTTCAAACAATTAATATGTGCATATATCACACTTCTCAACACATACACTACACTTTGTTATAGAGATTGGAGGTCCGTCTATTTCATCACCCCCACCACCAACATTATAATGTTTGTAACAGGGTAAATGATATTTCAATTTTTCTTGCTTCTCTGGTGAAAGTTTACACCAAATGCTCTCCAATTCCTCACATGTTACAAAATTATGTTTCTTATCTATGATATAGACGCAGTCTTCATTTGAAAACATCACCTGCTTTCAAAGCACCTATCGCAGACTTTATTTGATCTGGAATTAGCGTAATTATGTCGAGTGCACACTCTCGACACTCCAATTCCTCAAAAGGAGTTAGTGAGGGAGTAAGACTTGACATTCTTTTTATATAGTCCGCCATACTCTCGCCTTGAAATTGATTGGTTAGGATAGATTGTATTAAATTAGTGTAATATATAGGGAAATTCATCAAATGTAGTCTTTGTAATCGCATAGTAATTATTTCACGAAGTTGCTTAAGATTTTTATAACTTGTTGAATGAAGTACTAATTCCGTTCCACGAGATTGTATCCTTATAATTTTTCTATGATTTTTAAGGTTAGTGTTTTTGCAACCATAAAATATATTTAAGTAAGTGCTTAATTGCACTTCTTTACAATCAGTTTGCTCGATTACATCACTACATGAAGAACACTTTTTTCTTTGAAGTAAATGTTGATCTGCCTTAGATTCATGTATTTCCCAAAATTTATCCCATTCGTACGATGTCAATTTGTTTTGTACTGAAATAAACTTACTTGAGAATGAAAAACTTTTCGAACTGAATGATAAACACCTACTTGAATTAAACTGAACTTTATTTTACTATTTGGAGTTAATTAATAACATTTAAGAAATAATGCTAGAGAAGAAGATTACGAATGAAGTTTTAACACGACTTAGTTTTACAATACAAAATGTTCATCTTTTTCTTTTTAACAAAACCCGAAAATTCGTGAACTTGTACACAAAAAAGAAACTCGTCTAGAGAGGGAACACAATACAAGAAAACTGAATATGAATTACAAAATATAAAGACAGAATAAACAAATCGGGTTTTTTAATAAAGATAGACTTAAAATTAACACAATTGAATGCATTTTCTTTTACTGTTTGCAGCTATTTACACCACAGGATATCCACTAGACTGATACCCGTACCAATACTCAACGAATGAGGGAGATCATATCGCTTTTCATTTATTAATTCATACTCTTCCGCTATTTGTCGCTCGAAATCCATAAGCAAATTACTTATAAAATTTGATGATTCCAACGCTTCATGTTCCATTGTACTACCGACGTATTGAACGTTAATCAACAAACTAATTCTTTTTTTCCTTTATTCAGT